TAAATTCAAGACTTAAAAGTATTAATAACAAATGTTTTCGATTAGAAACAAAACAAAATAACCCACAAATAAATAAAATTATTGGTAAGCTTCCGTACAAAATTATATTCATTAGTTTTAATAGTTTAATAAAAACAATGGTCTTGTAAATCAAAAATAAGATAAATTCTTTTAAAACTTCAAGAGACAAGAATTTCTTTTTTATTAATCCCCAAAATTAATATTTTATATAAACTACCTCTTGAAATTCTTCAAATAATTTTGTATTCTTTAATTTTCTTAACTTCAATTATTTTTATAAATATAATTCACCCATTAGCTATAGGATTAACACTTTTAATTCAAACAATTTTAATTTCTTTAATTACAGGACTTATGACAAAAACATTGTGATTCTCATATATTTTATTTTTAATATTTCTAGGGGGTATATTAGTCTTATTTATTTACGTCACATCTTTAGCTTCTAATGAAATATTTAATCTATTAATTAAATTAACTATAATTTCAATTTCTTTATTTTTTATATCTTTAATTTTAATTTTTTTTTTTAATTCAATTAGATTTTTTTTATTAAATAACGAAATAGAATCAATTTTATCAAATTATTCTTCTTTTTTAGAAAATTCATTATTTATTAAATAAAAATTTATTGTTCCTATTTTATTTATTAATTAAAAAATACCAATTAATATAGGTAAAGAAACTAATAAAGTATAAAATAATAAATAACTACCAGCTTGCAATCGTTCAGGTTGATACCCCCAACGTAAAATTAAGAATAAAGTTGGAATTAAACTTCTTTCAAAAAAAAACATATAAAATATAAATAAACTCATTCTTCTAAATGTTAAAACAAGTAATAATAATAATATAACAATATTTAATAAAAATAAATTCTTATAATTATTATATTTATAAACGCTTTCTCTTGCTATTAATATTAATGAACAAATTAATAAACTCAATAAAACTAACCCATAAGAAAGTATATGACATCCTAAAAAATAAGAAATATTTATTCAATAATTTATAAAATTTATTTATTAATAAAAATAAAAAACTAATAAAAAATAATAAAACCTGTAGCATTCAAAATATATTATTAATAAAACAAAGAGGTAATAAAAATACTAAAAAACAAATTAATTTTAACATTATATAATTTTAAAAGATTGAAAATAATCATTCCCATTAAATTAAATAAATTCAAGACTTAAAAGTATTAATAACAAATGTTTTCGATTAGAAATAAAACAAAATAACCCACAAATAAATAAAATTATTGGTAAGCTTCCGTACAAAATTATATTCATTAGTTTTAATAGTTTAATAAAAACAATGGTCTTGTAAATCAAAAATAAGATAAATTCTTTTAAAACTTCAAGAGACAAGAATTTCTTTTTTATTAATCCCCAAAATTAATATTTTATATAAACTACCTCTTGAAATTCTTCAAATAATTTTGTATTCTTTAATTTTCTTAACTTCAATTATTTTTATAAATATAATTCACCCATTAGCTATAGGATTAACACTTTTAATTCAAACAATTTTAATTTCTTTAATTACAGGACTTATGACAAAAACATTGTGATTCTCATATATTTTATTTTTAATATTTCTAGGGGGTATATTAGTCTTATTTATTTACGTCACATCTTTAGCTTCTAATGAAATATTTAATCTATTAATTAAATTAACTATAATTTCAATTTCTTTATTTTTTATATCTTTAATTTTAATTTTTTTTTTTAATTCAATTAGATTTTTTTTATTAAATAACGAAATAGAATCAATTTTATCAAATTATTCTTCTTTTTTAGAAAATTCATTATTTATTAAATAAAAATTTATTGTTCCTATTTTATTTATTAATTAAAAAATACCAATTAATATAGGTAAAGAAACTAATAAAGTATAAAATAATAAATAACTACCAGCTTGCAATCGTTCAGGTTGATACCCCCAACGTAAAATTAAGAATAAAGTTGGAATTAAACATCTTTCAAAAAAAAACATATAAAATATAAATAAACTCATTCTTCTAAATGTTAAAACAAGTAATAATAATAATATAACAATATTTAATAAAATTAAATTCTTATAATTATTATATTTATAAACGCTTTCTCTTGCTATTAATATTAATGAACAAATTAATAAACTCAATAAAACTAACCCATAAGAAAGTATATGATATCCTAAAAAATAAGAAATATTTATTCAATAATTTATAAAATTTATTTATTAATAAAAATAAAAAACTAATAAAAAATAATAAAACCTGTAGCATTCAAAATATATTATTAATAAAACAAAGAGGTAATAAAAATACTAAAAAACAAATTAATTTTAACATTATATAATTTTAAAAGATTGAAAATAATCATTCCCATTAAATTAAATAAATTCAAGACTTAAAAGTATTAATAACAAATGTTTTCGATTAGAAACAAAACAAAATAACCCACAAATAAATAAAATTATTGGTAAGCTTCCGTACAAAATTATATTCATTAGTTTTAATAGTTTAATAAAAACAATGGTCTTGTAAATCAAAAATAAGATAAATTCTTTTAAAACTTCAAGAGACAAGAATTTCTTTTTTATTAATCCCCAAAATTAATATTTTATATAAACTACCTCTTGAAATTCTTCAAATAATTTTGTATTCTTTAATTTTCTTAACTTCAATTATTTTTATAAATATAATTCACCCATTAGCTATAGGATTAACACTTTTAATTCAAACAATTTTAATTTCTTTAATTACAGGACTTATGACAAAAACATTGTGATTCTCATATATTTTATTTTTAATATTTCTAGGGGGTATATTAGTCTTATTTATTTACGTCACATCTTTAGCTTCTAATGAAATATTTAATCTATTAATTAAATTAACTATAATTTCAATTTCTTTATTTTTTATATCTTTAATTTTAATTTTTTTTTTTAATTCAATTAGATTTTTTTTATTAAATAACGAAATAGAATCAATTTTATCAAATTATTCTTCTTTTTTAGAAAATTCATTATTTATTAAATAAAAATTTATTGTTCCTATTTTATTTATTAATTAAAAAATACCAATTAATATAGGTAAAGAAACTAATAAAGTATAAAATAATAAATAACTACCAGCTTGCAATCGTTCAGGTTGATACCCCCAACGTAAAATTAAGAATAAAGTTGGAATTAAACTTCTTTCAAAAAAAAACATATAAAATATAAATAAACTCATTCTTCTAAATGTTAAAACAAGTAATAATAATAATATAACAATATTTAATAAAAATAAATTCTTATAATTATTATATTTATAAACGCTTTCTCTTGCTATTAATATTAATGAACAAATTAATAAACTCAATAAAACTAACCCATAAGAAAGTATATGACATCCTAAAAAATAAGAAATATTTATTCAATAATTTATAAAATTTATTTATTAATAAAAATAAAAAACTAATAAAAAATAATAAAACCTGTAGCATTCAAAATATATTATTAATAAAACAAAGAGGTAATAAAAATACTAAAAAACAAATTAATTTTAACATTATATAATTTTAAAAGATTGAAAATAATCATTCCCATTAAATTAAATAAATTCAAGACTTAAAAGTATTAATAACAAATGTTTTCGATTAGAAATAAAACAAAATAACCCACAAATAAATAAAATTATTGGTAAGCTTCCGTACAAAATTATATTCATTAGTTTTAATAGTTTAATAAAAACAATGGTCTTGTAAATCAAAAATAAGATAAATTCTTTTAAAACTTCAAGAGACAAGAATTTCTTTTTTATTAATCCCCAAAATTAATATTTTATATAAACTACCTCTTGAAATTCTTCAAATAATTTTGTATTCTTTAATTTTCTTAACTTCAATTATTTTTATAAATATAATTCACCCATTAGCTATAGGATTAACACTTTTAATTCAAACAATTTTAATTTCTTTAATTACAGGACTTATGACAAAAACATTGTGATTCTCATATATTTTATTTTTAATATTTCTAGGGGGTATATTAGTCTTATTTATTTACGTCACATCTTTAGCTTCTAATGAAATATTTAATCTATTAATTAAATTAACTATAATTTCAATTTCTTTATTTTTTATATCTTTAATTTTAATTTTTTTTTTTAATTCAATTAGATTTTTTTTATTAAATAACGAAATAGAATCAATTTTATCAAATTATTCTTCTTTTTTAGAAAATTCATTATTTATTAAATAAAAATTTATTGTTCCTATTTTATTTATTAATTAAAAAATACCAATTAATATAGGTAAAGAAACTAATAAAGTATAAAATAATAAATAACTACCAGCTTGCAATCGTTCAGGTTGATACCCCCAACGTAAAATTAAGAATAAAGTTGGAATTAAACATCTTTCAAAAAAAAACATATAAAATATAAATAAACTCATTCTTCTAAATGTTAAAACAAGTAATAATAATAATATAACAATATTTAATAAAATTAAATTCTTATAATTATTATATTTATAAACGCTTTCTCTTGCTATTAATATTAATGAACAAATTAATAAACTCAATAAAACTAACCCATAAGAAAGTATATGATATCCTAAAAAATAAGAAATATTTATTCAATAATTTATAAAATTTATTTATTAATAAAAATAAAAAACTAATAAAAAATAATAAAACCTGTAGCATTCAAAATATATTATTAATAAAACAAAGAGGTAATAAAAATACTAAAAAACAAATTAATTTTAACATTATATAATTTTAAAAGATTGAAAATAATCATTCCCATTCAATTAAATAAATTCAAGACTTAAAAGTATTAATAACAAATGTTTTCGATTAGAAACAAAACAAAATAACCCACAAATAAATAAAATTATTGGTAAGCTTCCGTACAAAATTATATTCATTAGTTTTAATAGTTTAATAAAAACAATGGTCTTGTAAATCAAAAATAAGATAAATTCTTTTAAAACTTCAAGAGACAAGAATTTCTTTTTTATTAATCCCCAAAATTAATATTTTATATAAACTACCTCTTGAAATTCTTCAAATAATTTTGTATTCTTTAATTTTCTTAACTTCAATTATTTTTATAAATATAATTCACCCATTAGCTATAGGATTAACACTTTTAATTCAAACAATTTTAATTTCTTTAATTACAGGACTTATGACAAAAACATTGTGATTCTCATATATTTTATTTTTAATATTTCTAGGGGGTATATTAGTCTTATTTATTTACGTCACATCTTTAGCTTCTAATGAAATATTTAATCTATTAATTAAATTAACTATAATTTCAATTTCTTTATTTTTTATATCTTTAATTTTAATTTTTTTTTTTAATTCAATTAGATTTTTTTTATTAAATAACGAAATAGAATCAATTTTATCAAATTATTCTTCTTTTTTAGAAAATTCATTATCATTAAATAAACTTTATAACTTCCCTACTAACTTAATTACAATTCTTTTAATAAATTATTTATTTATTACTTTGATTGTCATTGTAAAAATTACTAAAATATTCAAGGGACCATTACGAATTATAAATTAATGAACAAACCTTTACGAGCCTCCTACCCTTTATTTAAAATTGCTAACAATGCTTTAGTTGATCTCTCTGCACCTATTAATATTTCAAGATGATGAAATTTTGGATCTTTACTAGGATTATGTTTAATTATCCAAATTTTAACTGGATTGTTTTTAGCTATACATTACACCGCAGATGTAAATTTAGCTTTTAAATAGTAAATAGTTAATTAAATCTTGTGAGAGACTTCCAAAAGTTTGTGCAAAGTGCATTTATTAGGGCCCTCTAAAAACCTCGTGCAAGTGCAGGGGAATAAAAAAAATTTACATCTATATAGTGACATATTCACAACAACAGCATTTTGAACCACTGTTATAAGCTAATTGCATGGCATAACCCATTGTGTGTTTACAAACTGAATAATCATAACAATAACATGCCTTCTGCATCCGAACTCAAATAACGCTAACAGCAGCAAAAATCCTAAGAGCAGAATGCCTTCTGCAGCCAAGCTCACATATTGTCAACAATCATTTATAAACAAAAACTGATCAACAGAAAGGCGCTAGCATAAACAAGCTGCAGCCGCTGTCCCTTTGCAAAAAGTCACGTACTCCAATTATTATTTAGCTTTAAATATAGCGTAAGCCAATTTTGGTAGCTCAGTCTTACTCCAGATATTCAACATAATAAACCGATACAGATTCACGGTCGGGAAATATAGTTTTTTATTTCCAAACTTATAACTACGTTATTATATATATATCTTTATATATATAGAAAGAATGAATAGTATAAATCTATCCCCCTTCTTGTTGGGGTAGAGTCCAAAGTCATTTCTGAATTTTTTGATATTGTTTTTTTAATTTTTCCCACTTAGGAGAGTATCGGAGAGTATCTTCTAGGTACTCACAATTTAAAAACCCTTCTGTGCCATAATAAAAATTCAAAACAATTTGAAGCCCCACAGAAGACAAAAGAAAACAAATGAAAGACAATATATATATATATATTCTATATTATACGCACCTGCTGAACATTTTTACAACTTTCTGTTTTACATTACGCTTTAGCTCCGATCAACATGTTTATGACCGTGTCAGTCTGGTGAATGCTTATCATCTTTGATTCTACCTACACCCCGCTCAAATATAAGCTGAAACAGAAGCAAAATAAAAGAAAAGATTTTTAACAGAACCAAATATATGTACACAAATATGTATAATCGTGTTCACTGATCAGCTGGTTGCGCTGCGCTCCGATTTGCCCATGCGCTTCGAGCTTAACCTTCTATTGCCCATATTTTTTCCGACCATATAATTAACCATCAACTACAATTATATTGACTCTATTATAGTCCATTTTTTTTTTGCTTTTGACGATTACTCTTTAATTCAATTAACTAATGTAATTTTTTTTTCATTGCCTAGCCGTATTCCTTAATTATTAAATGCACTTTACCGAAATGTTGAGAATTATTTTTTATTGTGATCAATAAGAAAAAAAAATATTAACTGAATAGTTTATAAAATGAATTATTTTTGAAGAATTTTTGAGCCATTGTAAAAATATTAACTGACTAGTTTTAGTTACTGAATTATTGTTGAACCACTAATGCCACTTGTACTAAAATGCAGATTATCTAACGGAAGGATTAAATTTCATCGAATAATGTTTTTGTTTATAATAAATATTAATTACGGATTTTTAATATGAATTGCTAAGTTTTCTATTCTGGTGACATGATGATATAATGTCGTAGAAGAATGTTTTTTTTTTGGGACCTTTAAAATCTTAAACGCTGAAGATCATGCCTGGGGGTTGTCACCAAACTTGACATATAGCTTCTAAAATAGAATATATATATGCATTTGATGTTGGAAGAAGAGTATCCCCTGGTCGGAAGACCCCGACTAGAACCTCTTACTTGTTTTGTTATTGTAGTCGTCGCTATTCATTGCTACCAATTTGTTACCCTTCTCAGAAGATAATATATTGATATTCTTTTTTATTTTCTTAGAATTTACGTGTCTGTTCCACTGTGTCCAGTATTGCTTGATCCCCTGTACTTTAGTTGTTCTTCGTTTTGTATTCCTTAACTAATAAAGAGAATTTAATTTAATTTTAACAATTTTATTGAATTTACATAGCCTCTGGACGAAAACTTTACTTCAACTCTCACCACCCAAAAAATATAATTATAAATACAGCACTAAGCTGTATGAGAAAGATGACAAACATATCGACCGCAATATACCATAAAGAAATTAAACACGAAATTAAAAAACTATTGACCATAAATAATTAGAACATTATTTAATAGACAACAATTAGAATACAAAAGCCAACAGAATCTCCAAAAATAAATAAATCTCTAACGTTTGTACCAAGATTATCGGAACGGCTTATAAATTCTGACTGGTATAACAAAGAAGAAATAAAAGTTATCCTCAAGCCCACAAATACTTTATAAAAATTGTTTAATAACACTTAGGCGAAAATACCAATGTTGGACAAAGGTACTGTCATTTACAAAATACGATGTAGCGGGAATAACATCAATAATTGCAACAGCGTGTACATCGGCACAAAAAAATCCAAACTAAAAACAAGAATAACCCAACACAAATCTGACTTTAAATTAAGACATCGAAATAATAAACAAAAAGTACGAGGTTCTAGTCGGGAGCTCCCGAAAAAAAAAAGATAGCGGAAAAATTTGTGTTGAGTGACGAGGCAACACAAGCCGTTGAACAGCTGATGACTGTCCTGACCGTTCACGTGGATTTTTCCAAGCTTTTCTCTGTCTCAGTTCGGCCAAGTTGAACAAACACCAACGGAACTATTCCATCACTGAAAAGGAGTGCTTAGCGTCGATACTGCCCATAAAGAAGTTTAGACCGTACAAAGGAGGGATGCTTTATACACTGAGCACGCCAGCTAAAAATTTCTGATGTCCATAAATGACTTAAACGAGAGACTAGCACGATGATCGTTGCAGTTGCAAGGGTACGAATTATCATTGAGCACCGTTAAGGCAGTGAAAACGTGGTAGCCGAACTCTATCGCGCAGTGTCGAAGTAGTGGGTACAGTTCCAGAAAGTCTTTTCCAATTTGAGATCTTCGAGTTGGAGTCAGCGAAATATTGGGCGTTGCTAGAACCGGTTCGGAAGAATCAGGATAAACTACCAAACCTTAAGGTTTATGGGGTTTGCTTTTTAAGCCCATGGGATTGTCTACCTAGAACATGTGTAAGAAGGCAGCGTGTGGAAGCTGTGGGTGCCGAACTCTTTGACAGTAGGCTTAATAGCGATGGTTAATGTAGATGAGACGGCTGGTCATGGTGGTGTCATAAAAACATTTGAGACCTTGCGTCGGCATTTTTACTGGCGTGGCTGGTCAGGTCGGGGATTGGGAAAGACAGTGGGAGACATGCAAGGAAATTAAGGCACTAAGCTTCCGCATGCATGTGGGCCTAGGAAAAGAAGTAGTGACCGAGCGACCATTCCAAAAACTGTGTATCGATTTTCTGGAAAAAAACACACGTTCGAGGAAGAAGCGCGCTTGGATCTTTGTCGTAGGCGACTTTGCGTCGTTTGGAATGCTTGGGTGATATTGCATGTGGAATCGCTACTTTTTATCGATTTTTATATACTATATATCGGTGCGCTATTTAAAGAGCTCCCCAAATTTCGGGTGGGTGGCAACGCCTAGCCCATGATCCATTGCCTTAAGCGAAACAAGTACGAGGTTCTAGTCGGGAGCTCCCGACTAGGGGATACCCTGAACACTCTTCTTCTAACATCAAATGCATATATATATATTCTATTTTAGAAGCTATATGTCAAGTTTGGGGACTCTAGCTCTTATATGCTCTGAGATCCTTGCGTTCATACATACGGACGGACGGACGGACGGACAGACAGACGGACATGGCTAGATCAACTCGGCTATTGATACTGATCAAGAATATATATACTTTATGGGGTCGGATATGCTTCCTTCTGCCTGTTACATACATTTGGATTTTGCACAAATACAATATAATCTTATACCCATTTTTAATGGGTTCAGGGTATAAAAACAGAGACAACGCTTATCATAAGTTATAATCAACCCTCGCTATCGCGTGCTTCATATGTTAAGGAACAGCCCCGGCAATTGCGACACTGCATACTTTGTATCAGCGCGCAATCGCTGCAATGGTCAGCGGCGGTAACCGGACACTTTTGTTTTGCTGCAAGAGTTTCCGTTGTTGCCTAAGAATTTGCTGAGTCGGCTTGCCGACCATGACATTGTGGCGTGATGCGAGTTTTAGCTTAGCTTAAGTAAAACTCTCTGTGCATTAAGTTTCTTTAGTTTTGAATTCAGCGCTCTTCCAATAAGTCGCTTAAATAAATATTCACTCCGGCCGTTGGCCGTTAAATAATTTGTTTTATTGTATGAGCCCGAGGCCAGCAATAAGAGGCACAGTCGCCTCTCAACCTAATCTTCAGCCACTACAGGACTGAAGGATGTTAATTTATATATACTTTATGGGGTCGGAGATGCTTCCTTCTGCCTGTTACATTTGGATTTTGCACAAATACTAATTTTTAATGGGTTCAGCGCATAAAAATATTAGGAGAAAGATTGGGGTGCTCGCTCGATTCGTTCGTAGGGTAATGAGCGGAAATATGCCCTTGGCCTACGTGGTCGATGACTTACCCATGCCGATCATGCCTATAGGTATCCAGGCACCGAAAATGTCAGTGTATGGGTAGGCAAAGTAGGGCATAAAAGTCGTTGCTGTTCTACCTCAAAGTTGTCGGTGGCTGGTATGGACGATAACAAAATAAAAAGGATACAAAAAAAAAAAAAATTTAAAAGTTCCAGCCAAAGAGCCACGTAGATGACTACAAGCTGTTTATCCCGGCTCAAAAGCACATCGACGCGAGAGGGATCCGCGATAGAAGGCACGTCGACGACTGCCAGCGGCCTCGGCTCGAACAGCCGGCAGGGGTAGAATCATACTCAGCTCTGCGACCCCTGAAAGATTTTGAAATTATAAAATTTAGTATTATTTGTTTGCCTTATGTGAACATACGCATATATATGCAATCTGTCGTTATTACCTTTAAAAACGAACTTAATTGATCTCCGACAGTGAGGGAAAGGCCCCCAACAATTATTGCTTCTGCCATTTAAAAAAGAGAAAAGAAGTTATTGCGATTA